CCAGATCTATCTTATAAGACTGACTGAGACATTAAGTTCCAATATTCATACAAGAATGAAAAAGTGCTCCACTGGATGTAGTGAACAAAATTCGGACATTCACAGCAGTCATTATTCACAAACCAAAGCTTTTTCATTAGTATTATTTTGTACTGATCTTCCAATTACAAGGATGCCTTTTGAACACTACCAGCTGGGAAGGGATTTGGATTTTTGTTTTTCATATTTAGCTTCTCCTTCTCATTTCCCTATGGGCTTTTTCTCTACTTCATATTTACTTGCCAATTCCCTTTTTTTAAATTCTATAAGCCAGCATTCATAGTCTCATCACTGCATTCCAGAGGGACACATAGGAATTATCATAATCAACTTACTTAAAAAGCTAGATAAAGGATGAGAAACTGCCTTTAAAAAGGAAAAAAAGATTTATTGATGGGTGCTTTAATGCCTTTTTCTATTTGCAAATATTCTGTACATATTACCATCTTCTAAAGATGAATTACTTGAGAGAAGGAAAGGTATTTGTTTTCTTCTTATCTCTTTAAACCAAAGCTTTTTTTCTTTTTTTTAAGATTAGCCAATTGGTCCTGTGTCTTTCACACTGGCTTTTTTAAGAACTCTCATACTATAGTCTATTCAGATTGCAGATGCACACACCACACTTGGGGACAAATTAGATGACTTATTTGTGTAGTGAATCTTTAATGATACTTCTTGGAAAATACTTCAGAAGGAAGGTTTGAAAAGTTACCAGTGAGCACAGTAATGAGATGTTGCCTTCAATTCAATGTTAAACTGGGACAGAGGGAACTAATAAACAGTTGTTTCTATGGACCAGGATTTCAGAAGCAACCCCAAAGGAATACTCACAAGAATTTCTAAACCAATAGAACATTTTTCCAGTATCAATTTTTAAAAATTTCTTCTCACAGTCACCTCCATTTCTTCTAAGACATATTCTGCAATTGTAGCATTTCAATAAATTACTGGAATTCCTATACTTTCCAAGAGAGTTTAGTTTTTAAACTTCGAAAAGTTTTTAAATTAACTCACTCCCTGTTTGTGGAGTACCTTCTTAAACCACTCTTCTAGGCTGTCTCAAAACACTAAAATTTATTTTCAGTAAACTGCCCTTTTTCAGTGAAAGTTTTAGGATTTGCAACTGCATAAGGTCCAAACTCCTGAATTCCTTAGGATTTTTTGTCTTAAACCAATATTGATCAAAATATCAAATAGCTCAGCAATTGTATCAAAGAATACTGAGTACCAGAAAACTGACTCTTCACCTTTAAAAATATCTCTTAATAAAACCGATCATCAGAACTTAAATAACTATACCTAATAAGCATCACTGTTTGTGTTTAGCTAGAATTTATATACTTTTACCTTAGTTGATTATACTAATGGAAATCAAATCTTCAATAAACCTCAAAACTTAGCCAGAAGTGGTACAAATATTAAACATATGATAAAAACCTGTATTATGGTTGTATTCTTAATCCACAGATGTACTGAATTTGTATTCATACAATCTTGGAACTTTTGGTCCCGTAGTTATACAAAGATGACAGTTGTGATTTATTTCTCAAGTTGCAAATCTATACCACTTTGAAAAATGGCACTTGTCATGTGAATTATCTTTTACCAACTTTCATCCATCCTCAAATGGACTGGAGCAGAAAAAGAGTACAGCAAAGAAGGCAGGTAATCTGCCACATGATGGATATTGAAGAATCAAAGATTAATTAAAGCAAGTTTGCAATTACTAGTAATAGTACTAGTAATAAAAATGATAATTAGGTTGGTCATAGTCAAACCTCAGAAAGTCAAACATGTTTTGAGTCAAGTTTCACTTCTTCCTAGTTCACAATGAAGGAGTATAAGCCAGGCCTCTCAGAAAACACCATCACTGGTTTCTGTGAATGATCAATGATGATGGGTGTCTAATTTACTTGATATTATTGGAACATTCTAGAAGTTATTCTATAAATTAAAAGTAAATTCGACTTCAGATAGTATTTCTAAAATGGATGAGCTTGTAACAGCATTCATTTCAGACTCTCCTCCACCTGCTATTGATGGTCTTGAGGAGCAATGACTTATAGGGCATCAGTGCTTCTAGAAATAGGAGGCTTTCATCCACTCCACTCACATCTGATCTTACTGAAGTTGATCAAAACCTCACATTTTTGTCAGATTTTTCTCACAAATATAAAATATTAGAAGTCAAAAAAGGTGTACAAGTTACCCTGGTGAGCCAAATTTAATATGTAACTTTGAGATTTTTAAGGCCCTGCTCACTACAAACGTATGTACTTTACAATGCCTCCACTAACCTATTCATCAATAAAATGTTTGTCCTTAATTCCCACTATGTATCCAAACCTTATGGAGATCAGGGACTCTCATTTCTTGATGATTCTCACTTAAGTGCTATGTACAAAATTCCTCAGCAAAAATCGCTTATTGAACAAAACAATGTGACAATGATTTGGACATCATTGAGTATAAATCCAGATGTTTCATGGTGTCCCTTTTTAATTGATAGTCAAGGCAAGAAAGATTAGTATCAAATCTCACTGTACACCCTATAAAATGTCCAATATCATCACTTTTTCTTTAAAAAGAAAACAAAATTCTGGCATTGGTCTTAAAGACTTATAATCATATACTTAAATTTTGATCTCCTGAAGTTTTGAATTCTCTTTCTTGGCTCTGTATTGTGCTATAGGCCAAAGCTAATTTGGCATTCAAACATTGTGTCAGGTTCATATACTCTCATTTACTTGTTGCTATCTAAAAATGAGAAATTTTTATACAACTACCAAAATCTTAGGATTACTTTTTCAAGGTATAGGAAATATCTCTAGTGGAGGAAAAGAAAACCTGAGGGAGGCATCACAAGGTTGGAACCTGACTCAAGCAGGGAAGTAGGTGGGAGCAGAAGGCACGAACATGGCCATTAACCCAGTCATACAGAATAGAGACTCCTAGATCAGACTGCTGTAGGGAATATGAGAAGCATGGACCTGAGGAGATTGGGCACATTGTGAGATTCCACATTAGTTATCCAAAATCAGCAGCAAACAGGCCACTCACAAAGGACTGAGTCTTCCCTAAGAGAAAAGGGCGGTATCAGGGTGGTCTCTGAACTGGCTCGGGGCAGCAGTCTTCTGCCCCCCTGTGTCTATGCAGGTGCTTCTTCCCACTGGCTAGCTCCCTCTGCAGGGCAGCAGCGTCCTGCCTGCCCGTGAGCTGTACCATGCTGGGACTCCTCTGCACTGACCCCCTCAGTGGAGGCAGCTCTCCTAAGGCCACCTGCCTGCAACCACACAGGCCTTTCTCTGCCTTTCAGGCAGCTCTTCTTTCTGCCTGCTCGCATCTGTGCAAGTGCCCTTCTCTGTCCCTGCTTCTAATAAACCTGCTGTTTAAATATAACTGAGGTTTGTCTCATGGAAAAACTCGCCTGGGGAACTTGCCGTGTGCCACTGAAAGGGAAGCACTGGCGAAACCTTTCCCAAAATGAACTCAAGAACTCTGAACTCCAAAAACAGCCTCATCTCTATTTTCTTTTATTACTCAGAGCAGTGACCTGTTAGAATTGATAAAGTCCTTTTTAGTTAAGTCTTTTCTTTAGGTCAGTCTTTTTTTATTGTACCTGCCACTGGTGTCACCCTTTTTCACTACCTTCCTGACCAGAGGAAGGTGAGCTTAAAAGTCTGCTTCATATCCAATCTAGTGCCAAGATAAATGTGCAACTTAAGTTTCATTCTTTAATCACATACCGACAATACACACCCATTTACTTTTGTAGCATTCGCATCTATTACATCTGTGAATGTACTGCATTTCTTAAAGGAGCTATACAAAGGGACAGAAAACACTGCATTTTATCACTATACCTAAATTGGTATATTAACTAGGTCATAGGTCATGGTTTCCCTAGTCATACAGCTCTGCCAGTTTCCAAATTTCTATTCATTTTCATTGAAAAACATTTTTTATACATTGGTAGTAGCTTACTTCCTTCAATATTTCACTCTTTAATCAAAACAATAATTTTTTAAATTTTATTTATGCATACAAAACTGGGGTACAGACCAGAGGTACAGGGGTGGTGAGAGAATTCACCAGAGACAGAGTGGGGAGCAGAACAGGCCAACTGATGAAGTACATTGGTGCGGGGAGCAGCAGGAGGGCCAGGAGGGGTCTGCTACACCATGTGGGTCACCTCCAGGGTGGGGATCGAACTCTTGCTGAAGTGGCTTTAGCTTCTTAGTGCTGTGCTTCAACCCACTGTGCCACAAGGGAAGGCCCAATACTTTGTATTTTTTAAACAAAGGCCTAAGTTTTCTTCTCAAGTGGAATTATCATGCTAGTTGTGAAGATAACTTTCCCCCCCCCACTCTACTGATGCAAGTTTTCAACAGGATTCCATTTTCAGTTCACCATAATTGAATCCTGCAGGAGTGACATATGCAGAATACTACCAATACTCTATTAAAGGTAAAGCTGAGGAAGATAGAAAGATCATTTCAAATTAGCTAAATTTTAAATGAATTCTAAAGTTTAAAATGTATCTTCATTGCTACTGGACGCTCACCAAACTTTGACTCCGCCAAAGTTGGCAGTGGGACTAAGAATAATAGTTCTTTTTCCCGAGTTTTTCATTACGGAAAAGAAAAGCAATTGTGTGTGAATGTTTCTGGCATTCATCATTTGAAATACCAAAAGACCAGGGAGGAAGGAGGAGTTGTGTTTGCTTAGGTGGTTATAGCTACTAAATACCCAATTGAATTACAACAGAAATTTGTTGTCTCACATTCTAGAATTCAGGATGACCCAGGATTAGTTTTATTTTCCTAAGAGAATTATTGTGTTAGTTGTAAAGAAAACTTTTCCCCTCATTCTCAGCATTATTTAAATGTCAATAACACTTCCTTCCAAATCAGTGTTCTGTAGTCGGTACTGATTTAAGTGAAAGTCCAGCCTGTACTTACATAAATAGATGAGTGTTCAGCTTGAGAAGTCCACATGGTGATGAGGGGAGGAAGTACTGGCTCTTGAAAGACTGAAAACGAGTCCCATAAATTCAGGGGGTTACTTCTCTGCGTTCTTTCTGGTCTAACATAAATAAATAAATACAGAAATTAGTGTGGCTGATTTAAACAGCCTTCCTAGGCATGACACCGACAAGCTAAAGCAAGAACCTCAGTGTTCTTTCAAGCAGAGATCTCACAGCTGCTTTGTCTTTTAAAGTACTGGCATATAGACCTGCCTGGAAAAACAGTGAAGACAGCAAATATTTTTCTACTCATGAAATCCTGAGAAGTTGTAATCCCTGAACTCAGTTTTGCTGGCATAATGGACCAAACTAAGCAGTATGCTTTAATATCAAGTTGCATCAACATGAGTATTATTGTCTTGATTGGCAGCAATTGTTAAGTACAAGATTCAATAGTAATAATCTGTAAATATCAGTGCAAATCACCTGTTATGATTTACCAAGATCAAATATACCTAGTTAATGAAAAACCTGAGAATTATACAACATTCCCTGACCAGTGGAAGTTTCACTTTTTCCTCCATATTCAGCCCACAAATCCCACCCCTCATTTACATCTTAATATTTATAACAAATTCATTTGAGAGTGGAATTCTAGGGTCAATAAGCAACATCTCCCCTTTACCACTCAATTCAGAACTTAAAGACCACTGGGATCTCAAAGGCAGAGATAAATATAACTGTCATCCTGAACGCAGAGTAGAGAAGGGCATATAGTGACTCTGAAATGGTGGGGGTAGAGCAAGCAGGAAAACCAAGTATATACATGTACTGTTCATTTTGCAATTAGAAAAAATTTGGAAATATTTCACAGAGCTAGGGGGTGGGGTGGGGCTGTGAATAAAGTTTTAGAATATATAATGGTATTGTAAAATAATCACACCCTTACTATTAAGTGACTGCTTCTTCTTAGGCACACTTTCTAATGCAACAGTTCCATCCTGTTAGATTATTTTCTTAACAGTTTTTCATTAAGGAGTGGTTGTAAAAAATATAAAAATATAAAAAAGAAAAGGCTAAAAGAAGAAAAGGTTTCCCAGTAAATAATATGAATCAAAAAGTTTCTATGAAGGGGATGATAATTTACTTTTCTCACTATGGTTTCTTCATTTATCCCATTCAGAATTCCTGAGTAAGTCTGGAACACAAGATTCAAAAAATAAAACCATTTTTAAATTACATTGTCAAATTGCTTAATGCTGTTTGGGGATGGATATGTATGTAAAAAAGATGAACTTCATAGTAAGATATGAAATTGTAAAGAGTCCAGCACTATAATAAAGGAGCCATTAAAGATCCTTTCAGAAGAGGTAGGTTAATCTTGGAAGCTAGAACAAGTAAAATACTAGGTTATCCTGAAGCAACATTAAGAGCCTCACTATAGAGCATTTATCAAGTCATCTCATCAGTTTTGATACCACTTGATTCACAGTAGGTATTTCCCTTATTACTTTAACTTCCTCCTACCATTCCTTTACCTGACATAGTTGACCCCTCCCCACACTACAATTATTTTTTATATATTTATATGCATATGTAAATATATTCACATGTTTTAAATATTATATTTAATTACACACAAATATATAAAACGTGTGTGTGTGTATATATTTGTGTGTGTATGTTTTATTAGAGCAAATGTGCTGGGTATTAGAATGTGATTGCTTAATTTTTCTCTTGCCTTAATGATGCACCAAAATTGTCTGTGTTAAAGTGAAAGAGACAAGGCTAATAATTTATTCATCCTGAGCAAATCAAGTAAGCATGAATTTATAGGTGACTCACAGTCAGGATTCTAGTTAATACATCTCGAGGGCTCTAATAAAAAGAGGATGGTTACAGAAATCTGGAGGAGAAATAATTTTTTCAATGTCTTGACCAACATGAAAAAACTACCTACAAGAACAGCATCTGCATTTTACATGCCGCAAATAGGAACTTTCTCCATGGTTTTCTTTCCTCTTACATACTTGTCAGGTACAATTTAGAAGAAATATTACTCACTATTTAGAAAGCATAAACATAGCCTAAATCATACATTTGCATATCAATCAGGGAATACATTAAGCTTTTCTTGCCCAAAGCAAAGCAAGAGTTAAAAAAAAATAGTTGTAACATTAAGTTTGTAAATCATGCTTCCAGCAAAGGAATGGGCTAGCTAATATATTCAAAGTGCCAATTAAGAGGGTGTTTAATTTCAAAAAGCTTAGGTTCAGTATCAGCAATAAGAGTCAATGTTGTGATATTTTTAAAACTAGTCAATAATTCATGCTAGATGTTGGGAAAGGAAATAGTATATCTGATGGGAAAATCATGAACACCTTCATATAAGAGGTAGCATTTGAGCCAGTCATTGATGAATAGAATTTAGAAACTCAGGATGGACAAAAAGGTAATTTCAAGGAGAAAGAATAAAAGAACTTATGTTGGGAAGACTTACTGACTCAGCAGAAGTGAGGGCCCAGTTATAAATGATATCTCCATGGGATATTAAATGACACACATGCACACTGGCACACATATTTTCCATATAAAGAAATAAATTCTGGGGCCCTCCCTGGTGGCGCAGCGGGTTAAAGCACAGCACTGAGAATCTAAAGCCACTTACGCATGAGTTCGATTCCCGCCTGCCCCGGAGGTGTGGCAGACCTCTCCTGACCCTCCCGCTGCTCCCCTTAGCAGTGTACTTTGTCGATCTGCCTGTTCTGTTCCCCACTCTGTCTCTGGTGAAGCCTCTCACCGCCCATGAGTCTCTGGCCTGTTTTGTATGCACAAATAAATAAATCTTAAAAAAGAAACCAAAAAAAAAAAATTCTGTTTTGTTTCTGGAAGAGTTTTTAAGAGAAAGACGGGCTAAGTAATAAGTGAAATGCTTCTGATTTTTTTCCTGCCTGTTGACAATTTGGACACAGTTTTCTTAGAGAAGTCACAACAGATGCTGTCAAAACTCAGGATAATTGGAGACTACTCTGAACATCAATTCACTAACAATTCAATCAGCTAGAGGAAATGGACAAATTCTTAAAATTATACAATCATTCCCGAATAGGGAAGAAATAGAAATCCTGAACAAACCAGTCACAAGCAAGGAAACTGAAACACTAATCAAAACTCTCCAAAACAAACAAAAAACAAACATCCAGGACCAGGTGTTTTCACAATTAAATTCTACCAAACCTTCGAAGAAAAACAAATACCTATCCTGTTCAAACTCTTCTAAAATATGGGGAAAGGAACACATTCAGTGTATTTTATGAAGCCAAAGTTGTAATACTAAAACCAAAGACTACACACACACACACACACACACAAAACACTTACAGGCCAATTCCCTCATTAACACAGTTTCAAAACCCTTAATGAAATTCCAGAATCCAACAATGCATTAAAAGGATCTTATGCCACAACCAAGTGGAATTCTCTCCAGGGATACAAGAGTGTTTCAGCATCTGAGTATCAATCAACATAGTTCAGCACATCAAGAAAATGATAAAACTATATAATCTTACCAATAAATACAGAAGATGCATTTGATAAGATCTTACATTCACTTATGATGAAAACCCTTGAAAACGGGGTAGATGCGATATACTTTAACATAATAAAAGCCATTTACCACAAACAGTGGTGGAAAATGAAAGCTTTTCTACTAAGATCAAATATTTCTCTCATTTCATGGCTCCTCTGTCATGTACTGGGACAAACACTTTTACTCAAACTTACCTGGGGTTTACTTCCCTCATTATCTTCCCTAATGGCAACACAACTCCAGAGTTGTGCCACATTATACCGTGGTGACCAAAGATCTGCAGACAAGTGCTATAAAAAGTTGACTAATGCGCAAAATTTTTTCTCAGTTGAAGATAAGTGCTTTTTAGCAGCTTGATAGATGGAACATCTGTGCTATTCAGAATAGAAAGCTGAGAGCAAGAAGTAAAGAAATGGCAGTACTGCGAGATGACATACTTACTAGATCATGCCAAAACATTACCATATGCAGAATAACAGAAAGTTCTAGTCAATGGTGCCAAAGTGCTAAAGGGTTTCAAATGTATGGATGCAATGTATAAAATGCCTGTGAATCAGTGCAAACTCTGTAACTATGGTGCTAAATTTAAGTATTCGAGAATACACTAAGAATGCAAGAAGTTATCCAACTTATTTTCTCCCTGTCTTCATTGTCTTTGCTATCTACATAGCCACATTTTCTCAATTCCATAGCCTCCTTCACGTACTAACTTACATCGACAAGGTCTCCCTTGATCGTTCCTAAGGGGAGGCTCATCCAACTAGGAATCCCTGGAATTCTACAGACTTTTTAAACAGTCATATACCACCTAAGGACATTTCAGTCAAAGATGGTCTACTGTCTAGTAACAATGTAGCTGTCATAACAGTTTATAGCAACTTCACACATATCAGCCTTTCTGTGTCTTCCAATAGCATCATTATCCTTTGTGCTTAGTTTAATCTTGTGTGGTCTAAACATAGAAAATCTACTGCTAAGAGAACAGGAAACAAATTTAAGTAAAGATCAACTGGAGTGGAAAATCCATGATGGATTTTCTGGCCAGTCAAGCATGTCCCAATCCCACCATTGTTACAAACTTGAAGAGCAAAAACAAAGGGCAAAAACTCTGAAATTACATTTATTGGAGGCAAAGAGGCTGACAGGAACTTGAAAATGGCCTATATCATATATAGAGAAGCTTCTAATCCGTAATTATCAGACACAAAAGCACATTCCTCTTAATACATGACCAAAACAAGAAGTTTGTTTGCAGTGTTGTAAAAGTCTGGACTCTGCTATTATGTTTAATTTACTGCTAGTCTATAATGGTCACACAACAAAATCACCTAATGATATATTTTTAGAAATTATTCCATTGTTAAATGACTGCTTTGTGATAAATGACCAAAATATATGTCCTATTATGATTATTTCATAAACAAGACTGATACCATAAAGAGGTGAAAAAGTGCTTGCCAAGACCTCAGGGAGTTATTAAAATGGATTGCTTATCTAATTGCCAGAATTGAATATAGTAAGATGGTTGAG